TGGAGAAAGGTCTACCTTTCGAAAGCACTCTTGTTGGGAGATTTCTTATTTTTGTTTAAAATAACTGAAAATACGATGTTATATTGATGCTCATTCTGCTCTGGTTTAAGTTTGTCATTCAATAATCTGTATTTGAAACGTAAGCTTTTTACCTCGCGTCCTCTAGCGAGAATGTTAAACGTACTATGTTGCATCGCTACATCAAAGTCACCTAGCTAGTATATTAGACTTATTATTTGCATGTTATTTTATGTTTCTCTCCATCTTGTGGTTGAATTTATATATCTGGATGCTCATTCTGCTCTGGTTTAAGTTTGTCATTCAATAATCTGTATTTGAAACGTAAGCTTTTTACCTCGCGTCCTCTAGCGAGAATGTTAAACGTACTATGTTGCATCGCTACATCAAAGTCACCTAGCTAGTATATTAGACTTATTATTTGCATGTTATTTTATGTTTCTCTCCATCTTGTGGTTGAATTTATATATCTGGAAATGAACTAGGACTTTTAAGTTGATATACCATCTTAAATGTTTTAAAGTATGAAATTTTATCTTTACTCCTAAGAACAGTATATTGTATTTTCAGGTTTGAAAACTACCTTTAAATCAGCTTGTGGATACGTTTTACGAAAACATCTATATAATTGATTCTTCACATCCAATAAAGGATTGCTTGTATATGACAAAATTATACTTATTGTTTGTTTTGGAACATTAATTGTAGTTGTTTAACATTGTTGACTTTATCCAGATAGGTAGAAATTATATTGTCTATCATAGTATTTGAAAAACCATTTTTATTAAAAAATATTTTCATATCATTCAGTCTTTATAAAAATATTCATACATGCTAACTATTTTATAAGCACGATGAACTATTTTAACAAATTTGTCCTATACAAATCTGGAATTCAATTATTTAAATTATAATATAAGCTCGTAAGTTATCAGAGTTTTATGTATATGTGGGCTGAGAATTCTCCTACAGTAGGTGTCTGTGACTTGTTGACGATAAATTTGAACAATAAACGGATAGCACACACTCCACTCTTTAAAATAATATATTTAAAATAAGTTAAACATATGTACAAAAATTCCTTAAACTACGGATGGTACGGTTGTATCTCAGACTCTAAATAGTTCTCTTTATTTGTCAAAAGTCTCCTGATTCAATTACTTTAGAATCCAATTCTAAAGAAGATTTATTTTTCTCTACTTTTATCACAATAGTATCAGTGAATAATTCACTTACGCTACCCCGTGGGTAACCACAGTCGTATTCTGAATTTCAAACTACTGTCCTATTTTCGTCAAAGTCCACAAAGACAGGTTCAATTACTTTAGAACACCCTTTGACAACACAAATTATACTCATTATCTCTATTAAACTGTGAAACTCACTTTAAAATATCGCCTGTTAAAGATAATCACCCACACCCAGCTAACTTTGTATATAGCTTTGTATATCAAACATAAGTGTTTTCTTATATATAATATATATATATATATGTATACTTCACACTCACATCTTCTGTGTACCATGAAAAGCAAGTCGAAGTTCTACAGCAAATCTTATACTTTTTATGTTGACTATTGTTAAAACTGATTTAGATATTGAGATTCGCTAAAGATGATAAAATACCATCAACATACTTACGATAATATATCGGTTTAAAGCTCAATGGTAATTTTCCAACCATTGTTTTAATAATAGCAAATAAACTAATTGGTAAGTTATGGCGCTAATCTTGATCCAATTGCAATTCCACCAGTTTGATAATAAATGTTATTATTAAAACGAAAATGAAATATCTTGATGTCAGGCTCTAATATTTCTGAAAACATACTTTAGAAATAGTACATCTTCATTTTGATATAATTAACAACTGTTAGTGTTAAAGTATCTTCCAATGAGATATTAGTGTACAAAGAATGTACATCAAAACTTGCAAAGTACACTTGCTTGTCAAACTGTAAATTTGTTACTTCATTAAAAGATTCAGAATGTGTTTGGTCGTATATTCATTATATGTATAGCGTTCAAAAATCTTTACTAAAATCAGCTAATTCGTGGTTATACATACCTATCTATACGAGAAACTATCGGTCTACCCCGATATTCTTTATGTGTTTTTTAAAAAATCATATAAGATACCTGAATGACCCTAATGATATTATCTTTAAATGTTCTTCTTGTGCAATTACATTAACTTTTTGTAATTGTAATAGGTAATTTGTCATTTTGATTTTCTAATCTTTGTAAGGTGTTTTTTAATTCAATGAACTTGGTGTTATCACTTAAAATATTATTACTTGTAGAAATATATGTTTTATTCATAAGAACTATTCTTCTTTATTAAGATAATATGATCTACACTCAAAACTGTAACCGTTTAACAATGATAGAACTAATCCATTTCTATGAATTCGAGGACTATTAAATTTTACTTTCGTCTCATATTTTTTGTTTTGAATCTTTTTGTAGTAAATCCTCAAATGACAATAGACTATCCTCAAAGTAAAAATCGGAGTTGGAATTGCAAATTTAAACCACGAGCTAAGACCTTTTCTATTTCATTTAAAATATAATCCGAAAATTAAATATCACATTATCAGAATATTTAAGAAAAATATTATCTGTCTGAACTTTCGTTATAAAATCCTATCTTATTTGGAATAACTGAAACGATTCTTCTCTTATGATGGGTGAAACTACAACAGAAGAGCGAATGTCCCTTGGTTTGTGGTTATGATACTGTTACAAGTTACAATGCTTCTCAGCATTAATATATTCTCTAAAAGTATCAGCTGGCACTTTTTTATATCGGTTTACATTACTAACTCTCTGACAATTAATGGTCAAGACTTTCAGACCATTTAACCTGAGATTCGTGACAATCACTGAAAACCGTATAGAGTAATAATCGATTAATTAGGAACTGATTATTACTAAAGTTCTTATTATTCATTTTAAATCCTCGTCACATAAGATATTGAATTACGTGCACCTGTTCATTGTTAAATACAAAAAACTACTCACCAAGAATGATAAATAAGTTAAAATGGTTATTTAGGGCCAAAAAAGTTGTCTGAGTTCACTACTAAATGATTCTCAAAGTAAAAGAAAAATTACGGAACTTTCGATTGGTACTATTGATCGGTATATGTTTAGTGAAAAAAGGAAGAGACTAAAATAGTAACAAGATAAAAATATTCAGTACAAAAAGCTTTCCAAATTTAAGAGTGATTTAATATGTAAATTCTGTACTATGCACGATTTTCTAAAATAAATATAATATGTGAAAGTTTTTCTTACCCATTAATTCATCCAAACGTTCTGTTAAACATATGGAACTTCCACAGCAAGAACGCTAAGTGAGAGACCCTCAGTAACTAATAACCTGTTTACTGAATAAAAAGTTAGTATCTAAAACACGTAATATTACACAACTTTCACTTGTAAAAATAATTGGCCAAAAATGTTGGACTACGTCAGCTGAATACAACTTGAAAAAGTCTAATAAAGCTATATACTATGCTATGTATAGCAAAAAAACGTTCTTCTAGTAAATAAAACACACGACTGTTAACATGGTTTTTTATCTGTCCTCAAAAGATAAAATATCGAGGTTTCAGCTTTGAATATGCACCTTTCACCAACCAATACTCGAGATGCATTATTGCATTGCCATTATTTATCTTTAATACCGTGACCTGTGATATAAACGATCTCTTCTTAGTCATGAAACGATATGTGTAAATGCAGAATGACAGCCTTCTATTTTGTAAGCTAGATCCCAGCTCTGTACGATACGCCAATTAATACAGATACTTTTCACACACTACTACTTCTCCAGTATCTTTTATCTGATAATTCTGGTAAATGATCGATCACACCTTAAATATTTTGTTCTAATGAAAATAACTTTCAATTACTTATACTACTTAACAGCTTGCTAACGTTAGCTTTGCAATATTTTAATTCATAATAATATATTTGTGTACTCAGCTATTTCTAAAATCTTGCGAGGCAGATATTTTTGATGAGGCATGCCATTCTCAATTTCTTTCTTTTGGTATTCAAATATAATTTGATTAGTTTTTACTTCCCTTGGCGATGTCGATTTTCCTTTCTGTAAATTTTCAGTTCAAACCTATAATAAATAATAATATATTCATGATAATTATAAACGCGTGGGATCTAAGAGGTTAGAAAATCAAATACAAAACACGATAAAAACCGATAGTTTTCAACAAATGGATCATTCTTCACAAGGGGCAAAGGCAATATGATGCAATGGAGTGAAAAGTGCGGACATAAATTGAAAAACAGGAAGTAAATTTGATTGGTTGCTGTGTCATGGAACAAAAAGGTCAATTTGAAAGTTAAAGACAAAATTACGAAAATGTATAACAGCATAATTACCAGCATAATTTATTTTAGATAGTTAATGTTTATTCATATTTCATTTTGCACTGAATACGAAACAAATACGAAAGTAAAAATAGTACAAAATTAAAGATGAACTAGTGGTGTGATGAAATACACGATAATGTAAAAACCATCAAATAAACTTTATAATAAAATAAATAAGAAATATAGATAAAAACAAATTTATAGGAAAACATGAAGGCAAGCAAAGTATTAGAAATATAGTACCTAATATAAAAGGTCTTGTTTGTTTGTTTTTTAGAGCAGAGCCACAATGGGTTATCGGCTGTGTCCCTCGCGAGGAATCGAGCCCTGGATTTTAGCATTGTAAGTTCGTAGACTTGTCTTTGTTCCCAGCGAGGAACATATAATGTCTTAGATTGTTTGTGATAAAACTACTAAGACTATTTTCCGCCATCCCTAGTTTTGAACTGTCAGCCTCGGGAAAAGCAAAAGGCTAACAGTACTCACCACCAACTTTTTGGATACTCTTTTAACAACGAATAGTGGAATAGTGGTATTAGGCGACACGTTATAATTGCCCCACGGCTGAAAGGGTTTGATCTCGCATCTTGCAGATTACAAGTCGAGCACCCTAACCATTAGGCTATATCATGTCTAATAGATATATATATATTATTAAATAAGTAAGACAGATAAGATAGAGGTGGCAACGAGAATTTCAAAAATGTAAGTATCATTTTTAAATGACAGAGGAAACATTAAAGATCATAAGTCATTAATTACAGAATCAGATTTTATGCCATAAGGATTAATAGTATTAAGTTTGTTTGTTTTGAATTTCGCACAAAGGCAGTCAAGGGCTATCTTTACCAACAAATAGCGTGACTGGCCTCACAAATTGCAAGTCCAGTGCCCTAGCCACAAAGCCACGTCAGGCCTAAATAATAGTATTAAGAGTGGCAATCTAGAACGAACTTCTTTTCATTTTCTATCTGTTTGAATTAGAATCTCGTTTTGATACACAAAAGACTCGTAAAATTCTTAGAAAGATTGGGTGTTTTAAAGTTTTAAGCATCAGGAAAGGTTTTTTGGGTGTAAAATAGAAGATTTATGATTGTTAAAACGTTGTCTAAGGGACTTTTGAGTTTTCGTAACTTACTGATATCGATGTTTTACATTATATGAGAGAAATTATGTTTAGTGTAGTACAACTATTTTCTTTTTCTTTTACAGTGGCTTTGTTTGTGTTTTTCGGAGAAAGATTCAGTAGTCTTGAACTTTCTGGCAACAAACTTTATTACAAGGCTGACAACTATTTTATGGAAGGGTGTTGCTAATTTTTAGCATGAACCAGAAAAATAATTCTGATTTTTGTTTTTCTGGAAGAAAACTACACAATTTTCGGATAAAACTTTAAAAGTCGTGAGAAGTTAGTAGGGAGGGGTAGCAGTTTCGTATGGTGTTTTTCACACCTCCAAAAGAATTTGGAGGTGAGTATCCGGGAGTAGGACTGGCGCCCTAGTCCGGACACCGGGTGGGCATGTTTCGGTGTAACGAGGATTCGAACCTGCGACCCGCAGATTGCGAGTCGAGTATTCTAACCACCTGGCCATGCCGGGCCAGGGGGGAGGGTAGAGACGATGATGCCATAGTGCCATGCTCACTAGAGATGATTACGTCATAGTTCTACGAAGTGGCACCAGATAGACTCTGCTTTCTTAGGGGAGGGGGTGACATCATAGTTTGATGTAGTGGCGCTAGAGGACATGTTGCTAGGGGTAACGTCATAGTTCCATGAAGTCAACATGTGTCAACATGTCATCAACTATATAATTTTTTTCAGTAACAGTCTTAATATCAATATTTTATCTAACTTGCATAACATTGTTTTTATAATTATCAGTACTGAAAAGCTTTTATTACAATTACAGTTTCGCTTAATTATTTTTGCTCTAGTTTTATAAATTTTATAGTTTTTACATACATATTTGATTGCATGACGTACGTTTTACAAGAGGCGGATGGTATTCTTACAGGCAGATAGTTCTACACTTCCATAGGATTGTATACAGATTTCAACTTCTCTCAACTTATGTTTATAAAAACTGTGGCTTACCAGATATACCAACTTTCAAAGAAATCACTTTAACCCTTTTAGTTTTACAGCAGTCCAAACTTAGCCTGAAATTCTTCGTTTTCTTCTTCTTTTTTGCACCAGTGATAAAAAACACACAAACTTTCCTTAAATTTATTTCTTTCAAGCTTGCTACATAGTTTGCACATATATTCATCAAGCTTGACAGCAAATTTGGTTTTAGTAGCTCAGGTATTCTCGGAGATATTGGCCAAATGAATGCTAAAATCTCATAAAGTTTTCCGTTCATCTGGAGGCAAAGTGGCTAACTCGATCGCATTGATATTTTTGCTAAACATTATGGTATTAGCAGCAATGGGGCCTTTTTAATTTTATAGAAATCTGATGCGAAATTTGAAATTATCAGCCCAAAACCACTACGATTTTTGCATACCACTTTTCATCAGGCTTACTAATAAGAGCGCTTCCAAGTACACGATTGTCTTCATTTTCGGCATATAGCTAGAACAGTTTATAATATCACTTTATCTACTATATAAAACCATACAAGGAACATGACATCTATTGAAAAACAACTTGGCTTAGAAAAATGTGGAGAAAGCAACTGAAAGATATAATGTTCAAACAACCTCTACTGTGGTTTTGACTTACATTTTTATAAGGTTGTTGTTTTCCATACTATTATATATTATATACATTACTACATACTAATTTAGAAGGTTGAAAGCTTAATGTTATAACCTGGAACCTAATGTTGAACTTTTATTAGGACTGAGAGGTTAAAAAGTAGTTAGAGGAGGCCTCTTCTGTCATACCAATCGACCTCACTTAGTTCATGGAAATATTACTAGGTAACATCACATTCAGTTAACGTATTGTTACGTCTCCGTTCGCTAGTTGATTTTCCGTAACTTCGTTCCGACGAAACTTTAGCGACACAAGTCCTTTCTTAATAAAACCGGTTTATTCTTTCTGAATATAACTTTACCGATACACTTATTTTCAACAGTCGCTCTATAACAAACGCTATAACAACTAACGTTAACTTCAACAATACTTTCTGACTGCAGTTCAATTACTCACTACCTACACACATTGTCACGTCACGCCGTGACCATCTTATATATACCAGACCACCCCCAATCTAGCAAATGCTAGAGCACTCCCGAAGGAACAGGATAGTTCTAGAAAACGGGTGGCATGATACTAGTCACGTGATCTCGCTGACGCAACACTGTCCCCTCCTTAGTATTGTTCGTCCCGAACAATAGCCACTTACAATAAACCAATAACAATTAACAATAACTTAATTAAATGTACAGAATTACAAACACAAAATTACAATTCAACAAAGTCTCTTAATTTTACGGGATGTATCTTCTTCTGTACTGGACTCCGTCTCGTTGGCTTCTGCTTCATGTACGGTTCATCTGCTTCATCAGTAAATGTCCTATCATCGGTAACAGTCACATCAGTGGTAGTAACTTCATCAAGAGCTTCATTGTTTCCCTTCTCAAAACTGAGTAGAGTTTCTTCTTCGACGTTGGCTTTTTCAGGTGACACCTCTTCAGCAGCGTCATTTGTTCCTTTGTCCACTTCGTCCCAACTGAAATGTCCTGGACCGTGATAATGCCAAAGCCTGTTGGTATGCGCCACTTTTGGCTTACCTCGCCGACCACATTTTACCCAGAAAGTTACGTCTGAGAGACGATCCACTATGTCATATGGGCCTTCCCATGGAGAAGACAACTTAGGAGACTTCCCTTTGGCCTTCCTGGGATTATACAACCACACCTTGTCTCCTGGTTCAAGGCTGACTTCAGTAGATTTCTTATCATGAGATAGCTTCATCGAATCAGCAGACGTTTTCGAGTTTGAATGCACTTGATGGTGAATATCATCCATCCTTTCCGACACATTCTCAGGCAACTCTTCAT